GTAGGCCTCGGCACAGGGACGAGCTGCGTAGGCTGCGGAACCGGGACGTGTAACGGAGGTCGCGCGCCGCGGAGGAAGAAGAAAGGCGTACATGGCGGAATTCGGAGAAAGGCGTAGAAACAACATATTTGAAAAAGATAAGCATTTTGATGAAAATAAAAGATCTAAAAATACCCATAAAACAACCCACCCAAAAAAACGGCTTGGTGCCAGTAGGGCCCAGGAGGAAAAAGCAAGCAAGAAGAAGGCAGAGTAAGACTACTTCATAAAAAGCGCTAGTAAAGCCTTTTGCTCTGATCCGTCAAGGCGGGCCCGCCTTTCTGGTTCTAAAGCTTCAGCAATGCTGAGAACGTTCCGACCCTAAACCTCGAGGCACAAGTGCCAGAGATCTACGTACGTATGCGCACGAGCAAGGCAGAATAGGTGCCTGGTATGGACACACAATCCAACTAAAACAAAAAACAAAACAAAATCGAAAAACGACTCTCAATCCGGAGGAAGCCACAACGGAGTCGAAGGCGATATCGAGGCGAAGCGATGAAATCGAAAGCAAGCGAACAATCGATAGCAGGCTAACAATCGATGAGGATCGGCAGTGCACGCCACAAATCACAGGCAACGATAATCTCATGCGAAAAACTAGGGGCAAAATCGAAGGGCAAGAGACGAGATCGAAACCGATGAAGCGAAATCGAAAGAGTTCCCTCATGCCATCTCAAACGAAGGCGAGATCGAGAGGAAACTCAGCATGTCAAGATGTTTGTGTTAAACATCCATTTTCTCTTCGGATTTATTTTTGTACAAGTCAAGCAGTCACGTTCATATTCGTGTTTGAATGTTTCAAAATTCGGAGCATACAATGAATTTGAGTTTCTATTGCGTGAATGAAAATGAGCAAAAAAGAACTTCTTTGATCAAGTGGGACCGTTTACCAAGATGCTGGAATCGTTAGAATAGGAATTAAAAAAAAAGATGTTCAGGTGCGAAGGGGTCCACAAGGTTCACCCAGGGGGCAGCTCAGGCTCGGCAGCATGATCGGCAATCCGCAGCGAAGGTTCTTCTCTGTCCCGAAGAGTTCGCGCCGAACTGGGCGGCAGGCTGCGGCGCCGCAAGGTGGCGACCCGATGGCAGGAATCATGACTGGCGTCGCAGTGCTAGTGCTGGCTGTTGTTCGGCGGAATGCCTGCATGCAAAAGTCGTGGCACGAAGGACGCCCTCCCTCGTACCGGCCTCCGCTTCCCACAATTTCGATCGTCCAAACTCCTTCGCGACTCTCCGATAAGCTCTCCTGAATTGAATGAAAAACTTTGATCACTATGAAAAGATCGACTCGTTATGTTGCCCATTTGCCGGCACGTCGGGCTCGCCCTAAAACAACCTCAGTCGCGAATAAGAGAGAGACTGATGATCTCAGCGACACGAGGCGACAACCGGAGCTGTCGAGGCGCGAGAGCTTAGCAAGCCTTCGCACCCTGTTGAAGGGCGAGGCTGGTACTGGTTCGGTTTCTCGATGAACACCCTGGCAAGGATTTCCTTGGCGGTTTGCACTTGGCCAGAGGTGATGGCCTTCGCGACCACAGCCTTGTACGCCTCCCCCTGGGCGTCGTCGATCAAGGCCTTCAAGGCTTCCTCCGCGTTCTTCGTAAACCAGGCGGGCGGGATGTGTTTTGCGTGCTTGGTGGCATCGAAGTCATCCTCCTCCCAGTCACACCATTCCAACCACCGCAATTTTTCGAACTTTCGCAAGTCCTGGGTGGTGTGTCCGAACACTTCCATACCCCAACCCCGTCTGAACAAGATTTCCCCAACCCCGTCTGAATTTGAGTTTCTTTTGCGTGAATGAAAATGAGCAAAGAAGTACTTCAGGGGGGCCGCCGGCTCCCCACACCGGCGCTTCTGCATGAGCAATGCCTCCAACTGCGCACGCCAGAAACGCCGGCGCGCACATGGCAAACATTCCAACAACATAGCAGGGCGGCCGGCCTGAAAAGGATCGGCAACACATGTGACAACCCCTCAACCCAGCAAGCCTGCCTAGTGGCTGCAATGTGGCCGGACAAAACACAGCTCACCACACCAAGGACAACGCAACACGGAATGGCGAAAAGGAGACCTGTATGACATTCAGATAGTGGCGCGCGCGGCAGCGCGCGCCCAAAAATTCACACCCTTCTTCAGAATCTCTTTCGTAATGCGGAGGCTCACGGACTTCCCCTCCGAAACCGATCCAACCAATTTCGAACTGAATCCGATTTCCATCCGTTTTTCATCCGAAGCCATTTTCTGACTAGGGAAACGGAATTCGGATGGAAATCGGATGGCATTCGGATCGAAATCGGATTCCGTTCGAAATTGATGGGGCTGCTCCACGAAGCAACGGATCTGGTTTGAAATTGGGGAAGGGCTCACGGATTNACGCGCGCGGTTTTTCCCCCAGGGAAAAAGCAGAAGGAGAGCAATCCTGCAGCACTTAGCTTGGGAAGTCGGAGAATGCAGGAGCTAGCAGTCGTGCGGAAAAAGTTTCATTCGCTTGCTCTTGTTCTGTGGGCCGTACCAACTTAGCCGCTAATTACGGTTTTTCGAGTAACGTCGCAACATCGCTCGCAGATGCAGACTATTCATCTTCTTGTCAGAATTCGGAGCATAGGCATACAATGAATTTGAGTCTCTTTTGCGTGAATGAAAATGACCACACTTTGAAAAATGGGACGCAGAGCGGCGCATGCACTTTGAACGGCCGCTCTGATCTGCGGGCGAAAGCAATGCCAGCCGGTCGCTGCGCCCTAGCGAGCTTCTTGAGGAGGCGCCGCGCGCAGACAAGTGGGCAGGTTGGGCTCCTGGAGATGGTCCGCGAGAGGGTCCGGGAGAGGGTCCCGGAGAGGGTCCGGGAGAGGGTCCGGGAGAGGGTCCGGGAGAGGGTCAGAGAGGGTCCGGGAGAGGGTCCGGGAGAGGGTCGGAGAGGTTCCAGGAGAGGGTCGGAGAGGGTCCCGGAGAGGGTCCGGGAGAGGGTCGGAGAGGTCCCGAGAGGGTCCGTCGAGAGGTAAAATAGAGGTTCCCGGAGAGGGTCGGGGTAGAGGGTCGCCTAGAGGGTCGCCCTATACTACTCACCCTCTCCGACCCTCTACACCCTCTTCCCCTACCCTCTATTTTACCTCTCCCCAACCTCTACCCTACCTCTGCGCGCGTATAGCCCCGCTTTAGCGGCGTGCATACTACACACCCTCTCCCTACCCTCTCCGTTACCTCTCGTTTTACCTCTCCCCGACCCTCTCACTTTGCCCGACCCTCTACTTTACCTCTCCGACCCTCTATGTTACCTCTATAGAACCTCTCCCCAACCTCTACCCTACCCTCTCCAGCCCCGTTTTCTTCCATATATAAATATATGAATTTGAGTTTCTCTTGCGTGAATGAAAATGAGCAAAAAAGATCATGCTAAGAACCCTAAACAAACCCTTAACCCTGAAACCCTTGCTGTGTAGGCCTCGGCACAGGGACGAGCTGCGTAGGCTGCGGAACCGGGACGTGTAACGGAGGTCGCGCGCCGCGGAGGAAGAAGAAAGGCGTACATGGCGGAATTCGGAGAAAGGCGTAGAAACAACATATTTGAAAAAGATAAGCATTTTGATGAAAATAAAAGATCTAAAAATACCCATAAAACAACCCACCCAAAAAAACGGCTTGGTGCCAGTAGGGCCCAGGAGGAAAAAGCAAGCAAGAAGAAGGCAGAGTAAGACTACTTCATAAAAAGCGCTAGTAAAGCCTTTTGCTCTGATCCGTCAAGGCGGGCCCGCCTTTCTGGTTCTAAAGCTTCAGCAATGCTGAGAACGTTCCGACCCTAAACCTCGAGGCACAAGTGCCAGAGATCTACGTACGTATGCGCACGAGCAAGGCAGGATAGGTGCCTGGTATGGACACACAATCCAACTAAAACAAAAAACAAAACAAAATCGAAAAACGACTC